CACTAGTGCAGCAAGTGGAACACCTGACGGAGGACCTCCAGTTTCTGGGGTGTCAACTACCGTAGCACCAGTTACTGGGACTTTCATACCAGGTGTGCCCACTTGTGGTGTTGCTACATGTACAGCTGCTGTCTGTGTGGCTGGGGCGCTGGTGGCGCCCCCTACAACGGCCCATGCATCAATGCCGGTCTACCAGCCACCACCAGCCGCTAGTAGGCCTGTGTCTGGGTTTTACTCTCTCCCTAGACACAACAGACCTGGTCACTTGAGCAGAGCCCTGGGTGTGGGGTTCCACTTGCTGGCCAGGACGTCTCCAGCAGGGTCCTCTGGGCCAACAGCAGCAGAGCAGTTAGGAATCAACTCCCCTTCTCTCCCCAAATCACACCGGCGAAACCTGAGTGAGGGGAGCACTGGGGAACCCGTCACAACCCTCCCTATAACACTTGGGTCGTTGTCTCGAGGTAAAGGAGTCACGAAGGAGGCGACACTGCAGACGATATCCTCCGGTGGGGAACCCAAGCTCAAATCTACAACTAAGCGGAGTGGGAGGGATGGAGAGAGCAAACCCCGGCGGAGGGACCAGGATTACCAATCATTGCCTCGCCGCTCCACCAAGGACCAGCCTGCCAAGCGCTCACCCAAAGATGGAGATTCAAAGAGTCAGAGCGCAGCGAAAAGACATGACACAGAACCTAAATTCCGGTCACTTCCCAGAAGGCATGAGGGAGAAGCGAGGTACCAGGCAGTGAGCAGGAAGAGTGAGGGTGACCCCAAGTACCAGTCACTGCCCAAGAGACAAAGCACGGAGCCCAGGTATCAAACCTTTCCTAAAAGACGTGATGGCGAGTCGTCATATTCGCACCATCCTTCATCTCCCAAGAGACGTAGCATGGATCCTGGCCAACAGTTATCATCGCCCAAGAAGCGCGATGTAGGACCAACAGCTCTTCCCTCCTCACCAAAAAGACGAGATATGGGGCCTGGTCTTCTTCCTGGATCCCCTAAGCGACGTGACACAGAGTCCGGAGCTCAGCAATCGCTCTCTCCGAAGCGGAGAGGCGCCGACCCCAAATTTCTGCCGCCACCGCCCAAAAAGTATGATATTGATCCCAAATACGAGCAGCTACCTCCAAAGAGACCAGAGGTTGACCTGAAGTACCAAACATTTCCCCAGAAGAGGCACGATCAAGTATCCAGATACCAGTCTGTACAACCAAGGGTCTATGATATAGATCCAAAATATCAAGCTCTACCACCCAAGAGACCAGAAATTGACCTGCGATATTATCCCTTACCACCTCCCAGGTATGAGGCAGAACCAAAGTATCAAACTGTGCCACCTAAACGACGGGATATAGATCAAAGGTATCCCACAGTGCCTCCCAAGAAATTTGGCATTGACGTGAAATATCAGCCAATACCACCACCCAAAAGATATGACGTCGGTCCCAGATACCAGACAATACCCCCGAAGAGACATGATATTGATCACAGATATCATTATATCCCCCCACCGCGCCCTGATATCGACCCTAGATACCAACAACTTCCACCAAGAAGACCTGACCTGGATCCTAAGTACCAGCAACTTCCCCCTAAGAGACCTGATATTGAACCCAAATATCAACAGCTTCCTTCCAGGAGACCCGATATTGAGCCCAAGTATCAACATCTTCCACCAAGAAGACCAGATATCGAGCCCAGGTATCAGCATCTACCCCCAAGACCCGATATTGAACCCAAATACCAACCCTTGCCACCAAGACCCGATATTGAACCTAAATATACGCAGTTACCACCAAGACGGCTGGATGTTGATTCCAGATCCCAACCAATACCTCCAAGGCCTGATATCGAACCCAGATATCAATCGCTGCCACCAAGACCTGACGTGGAACCTAAGTACCAGTCGCTACCACCCAGACCCGACATTGAACCCAAATATCAACCGTTACCCCCAAGGCCTGATATTGAACCCAAATACCATCCACTTCCACCCAGACCGGATATCGAACCCAAATACCAACCACTGCCACCGAGGCCTGATATCGAACCCAAGTATCAACAGCTGCCACCGAGGCGACAAGACGGTGAACCTAAGTACCAGGTATTGCCACCAAGACACCCTAATGGAGAGCCCAAGTATCAGTCTTCACCACCAGACAGCGAGCTCAGGTACCAACATCAGCAGCGGAGACCTGATATTGAGCCCAAGTACCACCCAATGCCACAAAGGCCCGACATTGAACCCAAGTACCAGCAGTTACCTCTGCGACGCCTGGATGGAGAGTCGAAGTATCATCCATTGCCACCCAGACGATCTGAGGGTGATCCTAAGTACCAAGCCTTGCCCCCCAGAAGATCCGATGTTGATCCTAAGTACCAAGTCTTGCCACTGAGGAGGCCCGAGGCTGATCCTAAGTATCAACCCTTACCACCGAGGCGGCCTGAAGTTGATCCTAAGTATCAACCCTTACCTCCTAGACGGACTGATATTGATCCCAAATACCAACCCTTACCACCTAGACGGTCAGAAGGAGATGCAAAATATCAGCCAATTCCACCTAAACGAACAGATGGGGATGCCAAGTATCAGGCACTACCACCCAGACGACCAGAAGGAGAGAGCAAATACCAGCCACTGCCAGCTAAGATGGCTGATTACGAATTTCATCCTATTCCAATACATCTGGACTCTGAACACAAATTCCAGCCACCGTTCCCTATGTTTGATTACGAATTCCAACCCATTCCAACGATAAAACCCAACTACGAGCAAGTTTATCCGTCAATGCCCTTAAGAAAACCCGATGGGGAGAGCCGTCCATTGCCGCCATTGAGTGGGGATGTCCAGGGCATATCCAGTCAACCAAAAGTGCAGCCGCTGTCGCCACGAACTCAGACAAGCGACGTGCCTTATCAGGCAGCGCCTCCGGCACCAGTTGCCACTGACCAGGCTATACCTCCGAAGGCGTATCAAGGCAATGAAGTGTATCTGCCACATGCTCCTAAGACGCCGGGAAGTATACCACTGTATGAGACTATTCCTGCTAAACATCCAGGAACCGAACCTATTCCTGCGAAGGTACCTGGAGTTATACCTTTGTATGAAGGAATTCCTCCCAAGATAAAGATGCCTGACCTACCTTACCAGTCCATTGCTCCTAAAGTAAGTGAGATTGACACACTGTATCAGACGATGCCTTCTCCCATGTCTCCTCTCAAGGCTGACGAAGCTGAGCCCTTGTACCAGACATCGCCTCCCAAGATGAGCGCCAGCGAGCCTCTGTATCAGTCATCTCCAGACGGCCTGGAATCTGATCCTGTCTACCAGGCTGTGACACCGCAGATGATCCAAGATGTCAAGTGCAATTACCAGTTGCTGCAACAGAGGAAACTGGAGCAGGAGGCTAAAGCCCTAGCAGGGCCTAAAAGAACGATTAAGGGAGACAAGTATCACTCTCCAACAAAACGAACCTTTAGAGAGCGAGACGGTGAATCAAAGTCTCAGTCATCTAAGAAAAGCTCTAAAGGCGAGCCCAAGTACCAGTCTCTTCCCAAGAGGAGAGAGAAAGATAACGATGGCAAATATCAATCATTGCCACGCCGAGGAGGGCGACGAGATCCCCCGGCGCCTCCACAGTTTCGCTGGACACCTGGGGACGACGATGGAATATATTCTAGTCTAGAGTACCCTAGTGAAGAAGGTCGTAGTGGCGGGCCTAGCGAGGATGAGATATATTCCAGCCTGACGACTACTGATGATCCTGTGTATCAGAGTGTAAGTGAAGCCTCATACTCTCGTCCAGTCCCACCTTTACCTGCACCTCTCAGGTATCGCCGGCGTGTGGACGACGCTCCTCCACCATTACCTCCCCCACGCCTCACAACTGGACCCGTAGGACCACACAACCCACTGGTCTCTCCTGGGACTGTGGTCTCCCCTCCCGTCCTTCCCATTCGGGCTCCTCGAGTCTCTTCAACGTCTAACGTAAGGATGTTATACCCAGGGGGAAGTAGCACTAGCCCGAGTCCCAGCCCAGAGAACCTTTTGACGCAGTCGGCGCCGTCCTGGCCGCAGCGACAACACCGACATGACAACGAAGAAGTCTACTCCTCCATACCCTCCTTGATCAGCTCCACGCCTGAATCTCCACCAGCCACACTCCCTCGAGCGGCGCAGATCGGCCGTGTGGCTCCTTCGGCGTCGTGGAACTCTTTGGGATCCTCCTGCAGGTCCTCGTGGGATTCGCTGGGATCTTCGGTGAGATCTGAAGGCAGCAATAATGCTCGTCAGCGTCGCCGCCGGGCGCGGTCTGATCCCAGGATGGACGCTGGGGTACTACACCGACTTGCCTTCACTATATGGCACACCGCCTTACACATCGAGAAAGAGGTCAGGAGCGCCGGCTGACCCGACGCCACCACCCTCAGTGCTCGCATGATCTCACCCTCACCCTTGTCCTGCCTGGCGGAGCTCTCCGGTATGCGCATGACATAACCCTGGATGTGTGGCGTCAGTGCTCTGTAACAGCAGTGTGTCCCTGGTCGTACGGCGTCCGTGAGAGACCGTTGCATGCTGCTGCTGCTGCAACTGCCTTGGATACTGTTGCATGCTCTTGCTGCCTTGATTGTGGCGTCCGGAAGTGAGAACGTTGCATGCTGCTACCTTGGTCGTGGCGTTCGTGAAAGAGGTCTTTGCATGTTGTCCTTCTATTCATGGTAATGCATCCCTCTACATTTGCTCATTATTAGTCTATATGCTGCATGTACACATGTTTGGGTTATATGCTTCAAGAACCGCTTCATCAACGTTATGTGACCACAAAACTTACATTGTTATATGTGTCTTTAAAGCATGAACCTCTGACAAATAAAGACACACACACACATACACACACACTCACACATTCACACACACACACACACACACACACACACACACACACACACACACACACACACACACACACACACACACACACATTCACACATTCACACACACACACACACACATTCACACATACACACACACATACACATCACACACACACATACACATACACACACACACACATACACACACACACACATACATACACACATACATACATACACACACCACACACACACATACACACACACATACACACACATACACACACTCATACACACTCATACACACACACACATAAATACACACACACACGCACACGCGCGCGCGCGGAATAGACAAGATGGACAAAGACAAGATGTTCCAGGGAGTGGACACAGAAACAAGAGGTCACAGTTGGAAGTTGAAGACACAGATGAGTCAGAGAGATATTAGGAAGTATTTCTTCAGTCATAGAGTTGTCAGGCAGTGGAATAGCCTAGAAAGTGATGTAGTGGAGGCAGGAACCATACATAGTTTTAAGACGAAGTTTGATAAAGCTCATGGAGTGGGGAATGAGAGGGCCCAGTAGCAACCGGTGAAGAGGCGGGGCCAGGAGCTAAGACTCGACCCCTGCAACCACAAATAGGTGAGAAATAGGCGAGTACACACACACACACACACACACACACACACACACACACACACACACACACACACACACACACACACACACACACACACACACACACACACACATACACACATACACACACACACACACACCACACACACATACACACAACACACACACACACAACACACACACACACACACACACACACACACACACGCATACACACACACATACAAATACAGTCACACACACACACATACATACACACATACACATAAACACACATACATACACACACACACATACACATACGCACACATACCTACATATATATATATATACACACACACACACACACACAACATTGGCCGTCTTCCACCGATGCAGGGTGACCCGAAAAAGAACTTTCACCATCATTCACTCTATCACTGCCTTGCCAGAGGCATGCCAATACTACGTTTCAGATGCTCCTCCAAACTCCATATATCCCCACCGCTCCTTCATAGTGCAGACACTGCCCTTCCGACCTGTAGGACTCGAATCCGGCTAACCAGTTTTCCTGAATTCCTTCAGAAATATTACCTTGCTCACACTCCAACAGCTCGTCAGAATCTTAAAAACCACTTATCTCCATTCCTATCTAACGTGCTCACACATGCTTGCTGGATGTTTAACCCACTCACAAACAAAACGTTTAACCCCCTCCAACCTTTCCTAGGGCGACCCCTATCCCATTTTCCCTGTACTACAGATTTATACACCCACTTAGTCATCCTATTTTATCTATCTAAATGTCCAAACCACGTCAACAACCTCTCCTCAGCCCTCTGGATAATACTTTTAACACTTCTAATCTCCAAGCTACGAATTTTCTGCATAATATTTACACCTCACATTGCTCTCAGACACGACATCTCCACTATCTTCAGGCTTCTCGCTGCAGCAGTCACAACCCATTCTTCACATCTGTATACGAGTGTTGGTACCACTGTATTCTCATACATTCTCCTTTTTGCCACCATGAATAACATTCTTTGTCTACAGATGCCTTAATGCACTACCCACCTTTTCGCCTCATCAGTTTTATGGTTTACCTTGTCTTTCATAGACCCATCTGCCGACAAGTCACACTCAAATATCTGAACACATTCACTTCCTCCAATCTCCCCTTCTTCCAATCTGATATACAGTCTTTAATTACCTAAATCGTTTATCCTTACTACCTTGCTCTTTCCTATGTTCACTTTTAATTTCTTTTACATACCCATCCAAATTCGTCCACCAATTATTGCAACTTCTTTTTAGAATCTCCCAAAAGCAGTGTCATCGGCGAAAAGCAAATGTGACAACTCTCATTTTGTATTGGATTTTTCATACTCTAATCCCACACCTCTCCCCAACACCCTAGCATTCACTACTTTTACAAACTCATCTATAATTATGTTAAACAGCCATGGTGACATCATGTTTACGTGTCTAAAGCTTACTTTTAGTGGAAAATAATCTCCCATCTCTTCTACATACCCTAACATGAGCCTCATAAAAACTTAACTGCTCTCAGTAACCTCCCACCTATTCCATACATTTGCAGCATCTGCTACATTGCTTCCCTATGCACCCTAGCATATGCCTTTTCTAAATCTATGAATGCAAAGAAAACTTCCTTACCTTTACCTAAATATTGTTCAGTTACATGCCACTGTGTAAACACTTGGTATTTACAACGTGTACACTCCCTAAAGCTTTCTTGTTCATCTGCGTTCCTGCTCTCCATCTGCCTTACCTTTAATTATTTCAATAATAACTCCATACACTTTATCTGGTATGCTCAGCAGATTTATTCCCCTATAATTTTTATACCCTTTTGTTCCCCTATTCTTTATACAAAGGAACTATGCACGTTCTCTGCCAATCCCTAGGTACCTTCCCCTCTTTCATACATTTACTTAACAAAACTATATCTCTACCTGCTCTTAATTTTTCTATCTTGAGCCTGTCAATCCCAGCTGCTTTACCGTCCCTTTCATTTTACCCACAGCCTCACACACCCTCACCACTCTCACATCTGGCTCTTCCTTACTCCTAATGGATGTTATACCTCCCTGACCAATGAATACAGTCACTTGTTCCCTTTCTTCATCAACATTAAAAACTCAAAATATTCCCGTCATCTTCCCAGTACTTTTAACTCCCCATCTAATAACCCCTTTCTTCTGCCTTTAACTGTCAAATCCATTCTTTCCCTTAGCTTTCTCAAACTTCTTAATCTCACTCCAAAACTTTCTCTTATTCTCAGCAAAATTTGTTGACAGAACCTCACCCACTCTCTCATTTACTCTCCTTTTACACTCCCTTACCACTCTTTTAACCTGTCATTTACTCTCCATATACTCCACCCTCCTTACATCACTTCTGCTTTGTAAAAAAACTTTCAGATACTAACCTTTTCTCCCTTACCACAACTTTTACCTCATCAAACCATACTCGCGGTCAAAGAGTCTCCAAACTCCAGACCGTCGCGTTAGCCACTGGGGCAGCTAACGCGACGGTCTGAAGTTTTGAGACTCTCTGACTGCGGGTTCAAACCCCACCCGTGGTATGGTTTACAGTCATGTCATTACGATTTCGTGAGTCGTGTTTGCCTCATCATTCCACTAATTACTCCTTTTCCCTCCCACAAATTTCTGTTGCACACACTAACACAGTATTCCTCTTCAGCTTCCTCATTACCTATATTCTCACTAATCCACCTTTCTCCCAATAGTTGCTTATAATAATACAGTATTGGCTTCTAGGAAAAATCTAGAGGTAACGACTAAAAGCCATTTGCATATACAGTATTTCTTCTGTTACCACGCAGTTTTGTTATAATTTGTGTATTTGTGCATTATTGTTGATGACCTTAAACACATTCTCAGCGTTGTGGAGCTCCTCAAACGCCAGCAGGTATTCTCTTGGGTCACCACACTGGGACACACACAAATAAAAGTTGCAGTCTTCGAGTCTGATATTTTGATGAGTCTGGGCCCCTAGCTCTCTTAAGAAACCTATTGCTCCCTATCCCTAGGGTAATGAAAGGATACTGGTGGACCAAGTCTATTTGTCGTGCTTGGGTTTTTCCTATGATCAGCAGCACCACTCTGTTGACCAGTAATGTAGGTGTCGGCTAGGTAGGTGCAACAGCTGTATTCAGGGTGGCAGCAGTATTCAGGGTGCTTGACTATTAAAGATCCAAGTTCTTTCTCGGCTGGGAACTGGGCAAGAGCAAGATTCCTCTTGATGATTCCACTGGCTTCGTTGTGTCTGACATGCTATTCTCTAGAACTTGCAAAACTGAGGGCATATTATCCAGCTACCATGTTGCCACAAATGCACTTGCACTCAGTGTGAATATGGGCAACAAAATAGAGATCACTGCAATGGGAACTGCGAGAAGAATCATTCATTGTGTTGTGCGCTCTGCTTTTCTTTCGCAGCTTACACCCTCTAACAGCTGTAATTCTTTTTCACGATGAGCTGTCCCATCTGAATTGTTTATGGGCCATAGTTTCAACTGGTTTTGTTGTCCGGGTTGAAATGGTAGCCCACTCACTGGTTAGGGTCATCCACCTCCCACAGAATTACATGTATGCTCTGGATACATTGTAAGAGAGTAAGATGTCTAACAAAGCAATCTGAGAGGAGACGGAGAGCATCGTAAAAAGTAGGTTATTTCAGGGAGGGATAGACACCTGGCCAAGCGATAGAAGACACGGGTATCTACGTTTCCGATCGTGATTTGCATTCTTGTGCAGTTAGCTATTTTTTTCCTAGAATTTCACGAATAGGTTAGACCCAAGGAGATTAGTGTCAGTGGGATTAATTACTTACACTCCTTGCAGGACAGCTGTGAGTTGCTTATTTGTGTGTTGACCGGAAGACCAGACTCTTTGCTTTATGGATTAGATGGTTCTTGCCAGAGTGATATCTTCCAAGAAGCAGATGTGAGCTCACTGCGTTTTTGATGGCTAACAGAGAAATGAGAGGTTGGGGGGGGGGAAGAGGGTCTTATTTATTGAAGAGAAGTTTCTAACCACTGATGAAACAAGATTAGATAAAAGGTAGGGAAAGGGTCATGCATAGCTCATAGTACATCCCTTTTGACTGAAAGGCATTTGCCATATTTAATTTGATCAGAGATTGCAAACATTAGAGCTTAGTGATGTATGCACATGCTACATAGACTGTTGCTTCAAACCTTTTTGAGTCCTGGACTTCAGCTGAGCTGGTTTAGCATGAGGGCTGCATCATGCCTGACTATTTTCCTGGCTCTCCTGACAAAGAGATGCACCAAAAAAAGGCCTATTAGTCTCAGGAACACCACCGGCGAGACAAATATTGGGGAATCTTGTAAGTTGGGATTGGGTATCCTTTTCAACATCTTCAACTGCTGCATTGAACTCAAGTTTGATTTGTTGTGGTCCTAGCCCTGTGAACCCTTCTTCAGATCC